ATTTCACATTATTTAAATGGGGGGGGGGGGTATGAAGCTCTCATTTACCTTTTCGTCTGCCTCACAACTGATAGGAAAAGAAACTAGGAATGAACTTTTTTCACCTCCATCTTCTGCTGCTGTTGATGAGCACAGAGGGGAACCACCTTCCCCTGCCCTTCCAAGTTAATTTTGGATAAATCTTTTTCTTGCCCTTTGCCAACCAGCTTGTTATATGAAAGATGTGTTCCTGTCTGTTCCTTTTGTGTCTCAGACTGCTTATTTGGCTTCTTCCTGCTGTACTTCGTAACCTCACTTTGTTCCTTCTTTTTGACTAGGCAAAACCCTCCTGTGCTGTAGAAARGGGCTGCTTGGATCAACATTTTTTCCTTAAACTCTCTTTTTGTAACAGTCTGTCAAGGAGTTCATGTTTTGACAACTGATGTGATTTTCYCAGCCTTTTCTTAGATGAGACAATAGACTTCTTTTTTTTCTTTTATTCGTATTTAAAAGCCTTTACTTGTCTTACCTACAGGTGTGACATAATRGCATAAATCTCATTTTTATGTGAGTAGACACATCTGTTCCAAGAGTTCTTTTATGTCTTAAAGGTTAGACTGTATTGATATAATCATTAGCAATATGAGGTTTTTTTATTGATGTAGCTTATACAACCCACTTAGCAGAAATGGTGCTTTATGTCTTTGGGGAAGTTTAAGGTATTTTTTCTCCAGAAGTGGCATCAGCATCACTTCACCCACAGCAGGGAATGTTGTGGGTTGGYTGATTTGTTCTAGTGAACTTGCAGTATGTAGTCACAGTGATTCAAAAACTATTTATAGGGGGAAAAAATTAAGAGTAATAATGAACAAAGCAATCTTAGCTGCTGATTTTTCATAGATTTTTAACTACCTGAGTAAGCAGATGCAGGTTTTTTAATAGCCATATGTGGTTTGTGATGCTTGCACTCCGCACATAAAGTACTATGATGTCACAAACAATAATTTAATGTTGTTGGAAGATTAAATAGGAACAATGAAATCCTAAATAGGGAATCCACTAACCACAACCCCCCCACACAGATTTTTAGAGTAATTATTTTAATTGAGGAGAGAGGATAGAAAACGCAAATCCAGTACTTCATATTTTCCCCCCAATAGGGAAAACTTTTTTTAGCCGGTTTGAATCTTACTCTTGTGTAGGGTACAAGGTCACAAGTCTTTATAACAGGTTGGTCAATCAGACTTAAATGGTTACATTTTAATCTGCTAAGCTCATTAGAGAAACAACACTGTGTCGCTGTAGTTAAGTTTGTCACAAGTTTCAATGTAACCTCTCTTGTAGTCATCAGTGGTGGACGTTACATCCGTTCAGACTTGAATTTAGCAGAAAAATTGTATTGTTTCAGATTTCAATTATTTGAAAGCTCAGTGTTTCTATTTTTATAAAAGAACTCAAGAGAATTTAATGAAGTTGTTAGTGTTGCAGTTTTTCACTGTTGAAGACCTGTCCTCTGTTCCCAAGGCCAGAGGATTTGGACGTGGGGTTAGGGTTTTTCTTTTTCCGGGAGATGTATGCACTTACATTAATTCCCTGAATACTCAGCTTTCTATCAGGGCTTATATGTTAAAACAAAATGTTTTTTATGGATATGAAATCTCTCACATGATCTTTATCAAAAGGTCACAAACTGAATAGCAAAATTCAGCTGAAAGGCTTTTGTGCTGTGATACAAAAAATATAAGCAACATCAAAACATTCTTGGATGCTTAAACAAAATGATAAATATTAGTGCTCCAATTAATAGGTGAAATTTTTTTATTTTGGGACAGCTACAGGGAGAAGAGKGCTTTAAAATAGTGGTGGTCTTCTGCAGGCACTTGTTAGCCAGATTGCTTTGCCTTCAGCTTTTTCACATTGTTTTTCCAGTMATGATCCATTTTGCAAGTCATGTGAGCAAGTAAGGATGTGAAAATAAAGAGTTGAGAGTTTTTATTTTTTATATTGATTTACTTTATTTGCCTTAATTGCAGCACTGTTTCTTTAAAAACTTGCTAACCATGATGCAGCTTCTGTATATTCTGGAGATGGGTTATGAAGCAAGGTATCCTGAAGATACTTCCCTCTTTCTGGTAACAACATACGGAGCAGGATGAGGACATTTCTGTCAGTAGAATTATTCAGTAAAAAGGGTTCTCCTCCGTCTGTTAGAAGACATTTGGGTTCTCAAGAAACACATATGCTTTTTGTCCAGTAGAGCTGMGAACATGTCTGATTTCTGGAAGGAAAAGGGAATATCTGTCTCTTGGTTAGAGGAGGAAAAAGTGCTGAGCATATTTATGGTTCTAGTGTATGGGGAAGATACAACAGTGCATAAATTGAATTCAAATTTGCAGGAGAAATAAGTCTGGAAGAGCTGGTTTTGCTATGAGCAAAATGGTTGCAAGAACACWCAACTTCCCCAAGCAAATTTCTTCCTTTGTGTTATAAAACTTAGCATGGTTTTAATGTGTTGCTGAATTCAGTTTGCATTTGTGTAGCTTTGCTTGTGTTTATCTTCATCATTCTTTTTTTTTGTCTCATTTTCACACTTATTTCTGTATTTTCTGATTCTTGAACAGTTATATATTCCCCTCCCCAGACTTCCTTCTTCCTTGTATGTGTTGTTGAACTGGGTGTCAAGCACTGATATGGGTTTTGAACGCTCCCCTTCTTTTTCCGGCATCTGTYCTTTCATTTTCTCTGCTTTTGTTTGGATTGTGAATATCATGTAATAAGGAGGGGGGATATTTACAAGTAATTACAAGCAGGGTATTATGTAGAGCTCTGGGTCAGTGGATCTGGCCTGCTGAATAATGAGATTGRATGGGGAGATCAAAACATTCCTGAGTCACTAAATTGGAATTACCATTTGCAACAGAAACTGAGGGAGTGAACCCCTGGGAGGTGCTGGGCTGGCTCAGTGCTGGCAGGGAGGATGTGCTGGGGAAGGGACAATAGGAAGTAGCTGGCATGGTTTTCTCATATACTTTGATTTTTACAAGAAGTAGTTTCCTTGGGAATTTATTTTTGTCTTGTTTGGTTATTTTCAGCTGTAAATCAGGCTGCCTGCTCATAATGAAACTTGGTATTGGCATAGCTGTGAGACTGAAGGAAATATTGCTGCTTGCATGCAGATTAAGACAACASTTCACTATGTATTTTGAGTCTCTACATGGCTGCTTATTTTATATATATCTATATGTGCTTAAAAATAATAACTTTTCTGCTGATGGAGTTTTGATGAGCCCTGGACCAGAATCTTGTATTTGAAYCTTCTATCCACGCATCATTGTATGATATTTAAATCATTGTATGCCCAATTCTGACTTTAGAAGGCTAGCTCGTTTTGTCAAAGTACATTTCACTCCAAAGTGTGTTTGGACTTTGCTTTTTTCTCCTGTTCCACTGATGTTATTTCCTTAAATTGAATATAATTTAACTGCCAGCATACTTGGATCTGAGGTTGCTGTCTGAAACCGAATCAGTGGTACAATTAAAGGTGGTCTTCATCTAGGTAGGAAGCCATAATTCTGGTTTCCAATGTTATTAACCATCTGCAGTTTTCTRTAAATGCTGAAAGATTGTTCTTGTTGTGGATTACTTTTTAATGAAAGAAGCTGTGAGCAGGGAACTTGGGAGCTTCAATAACTTCACAAATTAGGACATTTTTCTGTGGGGAGTTAGGCCACCCTCCAGTATTGCACAGACTCTGAGTGGTCAAGTTTAACTCCCTGCCTTTCTTTATTCAGGAAAAGTTGTTTGCTGGTTCCTATCAAAGGAACTAAACAGATCCACTAACAATAAGCTGATTATTGAGTTGTTGGTTGGTTCATTCATACCCACTTAGGGATGTGTTGTGGATCAAGCAGCTTCTTACAGATGGCACCAAGCAACTGCTGTGGGCAGCAATGCCAGCAGCTGCCTGGGTGTATTCCCAACATATCTGTTTGCCATGCTGGAACCTTCCAGCCCATGAAAGACCTAATTATTAATTCAATGGGGAGTTTATTTCTCAACTGCATTCAGAGCTACTTCTCTGAAAGCTGTTGAAAAGGTTTATATGACAATTAAGTGATGACTTGCCAGGTAAAAAAAGCTGCTCTGAAGTTCCACTCATGAGGTTTATCGTTCAGTCATCTAATGTATAAGTGCTTTTGTGATTAGTGATGTGGGCTGGATGTGTCCTGTACCTGCTTAATCAGAAAGGTATTTTAATCTGTTGCMGTGATTTCCCATTATTTTGTTCCATAGCACCATGTAGCATTTCCTAGGCTGCTCTTGCCCCTTTGCTCTGTTATTTCTGTGTGATCTGWAGCAATCTGTCCAACTTTGCCTTGACCGCTGAAAGACCGAGTGTGTGCTGCTGGGTCATCTCAGGCTCTCTCCCTCCTTGTATGCCAAAATGAGACTGTTTTTTTCCTTTGGGTGATCTGCTTCAGTATGAGGGAATGCAAATTGGATGACACCGCCGTTTTCTTGATGGAAATGTGTCCTGGCAAGAGGAGCTGGTGTTGCTCCTTAGAGCAGGCTGTGCCTGCTGCTCCGGTGCCAGAGCTTGGGGTCTGCTGTGTTAGCTAAGCTGCTTTGCARTCTCTCCCTAACAGCACAGCAGATTACCAAGACTTGAAAAACATGCTTCTCGTGTTCTCAATACAGATATTCACAAAGGCCTAAGTTGAAAAAGTCCAAAGTCTTAGAGTTTCCGTGCTCCTGCCTAGGTGTATGTCTTTCCCATGATAAAAGGTTGGGGAAAATAGACTGAAATTGTCAGTCAAACCATAGAGACTTTGAATTCCTGCTTTTAAATATTTTTCATGTATTTTGACAGTTAATCAGTTCTAAAGACAAGTATTTACACTTTGGGAACTTACTGTGGTACAAATATTTACAAAACACTCAAATGGTTTTACTGTCCAGTAATGTGATGATAATTTTTTCAATGAACTCTCAACTTCAGAACTGGCGAACAACTGATTCACTTTTGTTTTGTCTTTAGGAGATTCAGTTTTAGAAGTGTGTGAAGGCTGTTATCACTTACCTTAGAATAYTCCAACTAGACACCAGGTAAGTTCTGGGTTTTTTTTTTATTTCTTGTAGCTTCTCATTTAAATGCAAAATATTGMTGAGGGACAAAKTTCAAAGTTTCTTACAAAAATGTCRTAATACCTCAGGAAGCCAAGCCTAAAACACCTCATATTTTTCATGGTAACACTATCTGTGTATGCTTCTCTCCCCTTTAAAAATGTTTTTTGGTGTTTTTTTCCTCCCTTGAAAAATACCAGATTGTGAGAACAACTCAAATTGACTCTGAGACATATGGACAGGATGTGGAGGCCAGTGGTGCTTTTTCCTTTCTGTGACAAATCAATATTTACTGAAGTGCTTTCAGGCTCGGTGTTTTCATTTAGACTTTTATTAATAAATACTGGTTGAGATAGAATAATTCAGTTTTAGATTAACACCTGTAGTTAATTTTCTGCACTGGCAATATTTGAAAAGCTGGAATCTTAGCTTTAGCCAACATTATATTTTACCACTTAGCAGCAAGGCTTTGTGGAATCTAAATCTTTCCTAAAATACTTGAGTGTTTCCTAAAGTCATATAATAAAGTATCAACTAGACATTATTTTTCGTAAGAGCTGGCAAAACATCATTKCCAAGCTGGACTCTTTAATCATCTTTTAATATGCTGTTAAAGCTGTAATTGTAGAGGGCTTGACAGCATTCCTGGTAGTTTGTGTTCCAGGCATGTGCAGGGTTGGGTTGAGCTGGGACAGCAGCAACCTCCTCCTGTTCGGAATTCCCAGCACTTCTGAGTCTGTCTGAGTCATTCCTTCTGATTCTTATTTTCTCTTTTGGGGATTTCTGTATCTTGTGTTACTGGTGATGTTCTGCAAGGCTGGGAGGCTGTTGTKTGCTGGTTTTAACCAAACTCCTTTGCAAACAGAGTATCCATTAAGGTTAATGACCTCCCATTATCCTGTGTCTRGTGGGTAACATTCATGTTGTCAGGAGGAGGGGGATTTTCTTCTTTACAGTAGGATTTCACTTTCTGGAACAGCTGTTTACAACCAGATTCTGATAGACAGTTCACTGTGATGCTGTGAACACCACCTGTGTACCAGTCTRTGTACTGTGTAACTCTCTCTGTTAGAGAGTTATTTTATTAGTTGACTTTATTTTTAGGATCTTAAACTGATGAATATACAGGCACTGAGAAAATTATAATTCTGGTGAAACTGTGCACCAGTGTCCTGCTGTAGTARTATCTTTAACATTGTTTGGTTTCCTGTACCCCTTCTGATTTTGATCAGTGGAGCTGAACAGCCACAACTCCTCCCTGAAGCAATCTTTCCTCCAGCGAGGAAATTCAAGGGACAGCTGTGCCTTTGGGACCCAGGTAGAGATGGGAAAAGTGATATTTGAGGTGATGTGGTACTTTGCAGTTTCCAGAGGTTTGTTCTTGAATWAATACTCAATGCTTCAGCCCTGGAGTGAGATGAGAAGTACTGCTGTTAGTCTGCTTCCAGAAGCTAATGGCATTGACAAATTGTGGGTGTTGTCCATGGAATTAGCTTTCCATCCCTTTGTTTCCAGGTACTCCTTCCTAGATCCAACAACGATGGTTCAATGTTGTCCCAAGCACCYGTTCTCTGTGTGTGCAGTGTCAGTACCTCTACCCTCCATCCCACCACACAGATCAAAATATTTTCTTGGAAAAACTGCCCCTGYTCACTGACAATTTCAATTGAAATTCTTTGTGGCATCTTGCAGTGGATCAGATTGAGTTTAATTCCTCCTTCACTGCTTCTGGGCACTAGATCTTCTGTCACTGTTTTTGGTGCAGACATTCTTTGGGATGTTCTGTGAGTATTTAATTCCCTAAAGTGGCAGGGAGCTATTGATTTTTTTTTCTTGGCAATAATAACACTTTGCCATTTTAATGAGTTAAATACAACTTCCAAAAGGGTCAGCAGACCTGGCAGAAACTAGGATATCACCAGTTTCATGAAACTTGATGGRATTCTTTTGGTAAGCTGAAAAGAAAATTAGTGTTTCTAAGGTTGAATTTTCCATGTATGTATTTAGAAGATTAAGGCTGACTTCCATAAATAACCTGTCAGGTTTATTCTGAGTCTTTTCAGCAAGGTGGTACCAGTTGTACTTACCTGGTGCTGCTGGAAGCAGTTGCCTGTTTTGGTAGAGCTAACTAAGGCAGGATATTGTGGTACAGAAATGGTTAAACACTGTGCTGGTTAATCCAGGAGATTACCTTTCTCCAGAGCCTTCCCAGAGAAACCTCTTCAGGGCATCGTGCTTGGTTAGAAAAGGGAGCAGATGGCTTGTTGCTGCTGAACACAACAGTTTTATAAATACAGGGCAGCTTTCAGGATTGTGAATTAGAGCCACGTGTGAAAACAGCAGGATAAATGATACCCGGGTTTAGGAAAACTTGGAACTTGAATGACTTGCACCTTTATTGTCTGTTTTGTATTTAAAAAGCCAAAGGTTGCATTCCYAGTAATAATACTCCTCTGTTTCCTTAACTAAATCGCTTCCCAGAGGAATTCCCATCACTGCCTTGTCCTCCATCTTCTGTCAAAGCCAATGTGTCCATTTCATACCAGTTTGGAGAAATAAATGCTAACATCCCATTACACTGAGCTGTGGATCCCCAGCACTGTTCAGATGGAAGCAATTAAGGATTCAGCAGTGTGGAATTGTATCCCTGTGCCTGCAGACTGATAGATACTGCCTGGGTCAAACTGAATTCTTTTTTATTAAACAAATTGGCCCTAATTTAACAGTGGAGATTTTGTTAAGCAGAACATGGTGTATGGCTGTGATCTKCAGCATCTGCCACCAAGGGTACRTTGGATTGATGTTACAGGAAGCTTSTTATGCTTAAATAGAGCTGCAGCTCGTAGCAAAACTGTCCACAGTGCCCTGGAAGCTCCCTTTTGAAGCATTAYCTTCTTTGGAAGGGCTAAATCAACATGTCAAATTGCAATCAGGATGCTTTTTTTTTGCCCCCCTCCTGGATTCTCAGGTTCCTATCCAAGAGCAGTAGTGACAGATGCTCCTTGGCTGGGAGCTGCTGGCAGGGACTGGTGTGGTGGATTTGCAGGGAGGTTCCCGGGAGGGTGAGGAAGTGATGATGGTCACAGAGCAGGAGGAGCTGAGCAGGGAACCTGGGAAGCAGTGGGAGCAGGCTGGTGTGATTAGGTAGATTACTGGAGACACGTCAGGATCATCAGTCTTTGACCTCAGCTCCAGGGTAGAGGGGGCTGGGAAGCTGCCTTTGGGAAAGGCAGTCCCAGAGGATTGTGTCTGCTGTGTGCCTGGGTGTGGGGTTTCTTTCCTGAAATATGGTTTTCTTTCCACTCAATCAGATTATGCCCAAATAAGTGAGTTGTTTGTGTTATGTCTTGCAGCACTCAGTAATTTTCCTCCCATACAGAAAGCTTTTGGTACTGAACAGAATAATTGAAAGAAAAGATTTTTTCTCCCACACATTCACCTTCCAGATTTGGAGTGTGGTTTGAATTTTTAGCCAGAGAGTTAGGRTTTAGACCTTTTATTATTGATAGTAATAATTCATAACGTCCTATAAGAAGCTTTGAATTAAACTGAGTAAAATTGCCAAAGGCTTCTTGAAGGAGATTAGAYGAGAGTTTGATTTACCTTGTGCATTCCAGTTAAAAACCTGGACTTGGTGTTTGTTRATGAGTGTAAAGTCAGAGAGGCCAAATGTGGAGAGTATCAACAGCAGGGTCTGAGCTGAACAAGACAATGATGATGTGTTTGTCCACATCCTTGTCACTTGGTCCCCCTTGTGTGGGTGTGATGGTTCCCATGTGTTGGTGAAACAGAGCTGTGCTTTGGTGAGCTGTGAGGTCACAGCTCCACCCAGGAGGTTCAGGGGGTGAGGGCTGAGGGCACTGCTTTCAGCCAGCCCTGTGAAAACTGAAGTTATTAACTTTGTTATATAAGACATAGGGTTAAATTGGAAAAGTCTGGTGCTTTAAATATCTTTTTCAAAGGCTGCATAATCTGGTGTGGGTTAATTGTAATGACAYAATCCAAAAATAGCCAATAGTCTTTTCTTGGATGCTCATCCTGGCTGCAGTTCTGCAGCTAAAGAACAGCAAAGCTGATCTRCTCAGGATGGGGGAGGACATAACCAGATAACTGCTCCTGGCATGGGGCACAGGGGACACCTCTGGGGTCTGTCACGTTTGGATGTGGAGCAGGAGGTTAATCCATGTTCAAGTAGCATRATTTTAATTGGAATGCATGGTAAATGTTGGATCCACAGCTTTAAATTATGAGGGAGATCTCTTCTATGGCATTCCCTCTTTCCTTTTAGAATGCACAGGCTTAGTCACGCTGGATTTGTCTAAGGATTCTGTTTGACCTGGTGTTGGTGATAAAATGGGGGACTGGGGTTTGGGTCGTGTGGGCAAGTTTGGGGTTATGTTTTTTTTTTGTTTTTTTTTTAATGTAATTTCTGCAGTAGAAAATACAAATAAAGTCAGTTACCTCTAAGCCAGTGTGGTTCCAAAAGGCAGCCTCAACAGCAGCTCCTCCGTTGTTTTTATCACAGATTTAGGTATTATCACAGATTAATTTAATATTAAGACTAAGAAAGGAGATGAAGTGCCTTTAGAAATGKGTTATGCAGTACATAGCTATGGCTGCACCTCAGCTGTTGATTTGGGGTTTTTGGAAAGAAGACTTGAGTATACACAGTGAGGATTCAGGGTGGCTGGTGTTGTGCCAACAATGTAAAAGTTGATTTCACTGATAATTTATGGAGTTTTATAACTTTTTACCTTCCACATATGTAAAGAACCTTTTCAAAGCACATTTTATAAAAGCTGAATCTTCTCACGTAAACTCTGTTTTTAAGGATGATTTACCTTTGTTTTTTCCTTTGTTTAAGCATTTCTTAATCTTTATTTTTTGGCAGGGGCCAGTTCTYTCCTCAGGTTAGCTCAAGATGGCAGACCAGAGGCAACGTTCRCTCTCTACCTCTGGGGAGTCATTATACCACGTGCTGGGGCTGGACAAAAATGCCACTTCAGATGATATCAAAAAGTCTTACAGGTAAAGCTTCGAGTTTGATGCCTCTCTTAGTAGCACAAATGGCTTTAATTCAGTGTTCAACAAATGGTCTATTTATATAGGGGCCTGAGCTGTTTTATTTAGACCTTTTGCAAGAAAATTATATAGGAAAAACAGGTGAAAATGTGGTTTCTTCTTGCAGAATGTGGTGTGAAGACACACCTAGGCTTTTAAATTTTTCCATCTTATATCTATTAAGTTCTCAAATGCACAGTGTCATTCTGAAAGGTTCTTTCTGAATCTGATCAGAGATAAACTCTTCCTGTTACGTAGCCTTGTACTTGTGTTGTGGGCACCAGAGATGTGCAGAACTGCCCTGCTATCCATCATTTCCATTAYTGGCACAGGGAGATAGAGATTAAAGATACAAATAAGGATGAAAACAGAGTATCAATGATTACTTTTTCCTAGAATTCCATTCAAAGTTTCTTATTGTTTGTGGAGTTACTAGTTTAAAAGAGGATTTTTTCTTTATCTCTTTCCTTGAGAGTCAGACACATGAATGGGCTTCATATTAACCAAATAAAAACTACAAAAAAAGAGTCCTGTAACATCTTCCTTTCCATATTCCAYATAAATCTGCTTAAATGCAGTTGCTGCTGTGACCAGTGGCAATGTGGTTGGATTACACTAGGGGTCAGCATCATCTTTCTGTGAGGATACTCTTCATCAAAATTGTTTTCCTTTAGTCTTAAACTTTTACCAGAACTTTTCCCTTTCCAAAGTTACATTTGTAATACTGATGGCAATCACATGGTGAAGTCCAGGAATAAACCAGGTCCACAGATTCTCAAAAATTAGCTTTATCTTCCTAAAAGCTAGAAGTGGAAGTTTGAATCATTTATCTTCAAGCACCTGGAAGGTTATTTTATCTTCCTGGGGATTATGGCTGCGAGTTTTTCCTTTGGAGGAGCAATCCCATGAAATGCTGGAGTGAAATGTAGCTGCTTCACACTTATCTGAGCATTCACCTCATCTTGTTTCCTCTACTGTTCCTTTATCATGTTCAGTCTGAACATCCTTTGCTGGCCTGGAGGCTGTGGCGTTTGTGTACGTATAGGAAATGGGAAATGAAAATATTTAATTGTTGCAGCCTGACTAAGTCCTTTCTGGTTTTATAAAACTTCCCTGTGATTATTTCAGCCCTCACTTAGGCTGGGGCACAAGTGGCACCCGGGGACATCACTTACTGGAGCAGCATCGTGCACAGTGGAGTGTCCCAAGGRCACACCCAGGCTGGATTTTAAATGCTGTGAGATACTTTCAGGCACATCCAAATGCTTGCACACATCTTTGTTTTATGTTTGTCTAAACATTTCCCCACTGCAAGGCTAACATGTAATTGTCTGCAAGCTCCTCCTATCTTTCTCATATATGTGACTTTGTGGTCATTTTCTGTAGGAGGACAAGTACCTTTTGTGGTGGAGGAGAACTGCCMGCATGTGGCTCCGTGTCATTTTTCTACTTGGGAGCACATATTTTCTGTTTATAAGGAAGTGTTTAGCCAGTCATTTCTACCAATGTCTGTAAATAGCCTGGGCCATGTAAGAACCAGCACATTTATCAATGTTTAATCTGATTTTTTGTTAGTTGTAAGAGATCTGGCCTGATTAAGGGAGGTACATTGTGATTTCCTGATATCTCGAAACTCAGAAGCGTTTTCTATTCTAGCAAAGGTGGAACTGAAAAGTACTTTGTTCCTGCACAGGAATTGGTGAATTAACCACAAGTGATCGTCTGTTCTATTTTTGTGTTCAGACACTGCAGAAGCAGCAGTTCAGACACTCTTCAAGCAACTGTGGCAACTTGCTTTTTTTTTACTCCTTGGTGCTATACCTTRGACTTGTCGTGTGTCTGTGCTGCAGCAGGAGCAAAACCTACTGTTGGAAATTGCTGGAGCTGAGGATAAAAAAAMCCCCAAATCTATTTTTATTCTATGTTTCTTATTTTTTTCCACTGGGTTTCAGAGGGTCAAATCCAACAGTCTGAAGTCAATTCTGTGAACTAAGCTAGACACTGCTGTAGCCTTTTATTRTCATCTAAGGAAGAATCATCAGGAAAGTTGAATCACAGATGAAGGAAAACAGCTGGAACTTGAAAGTCTCTCTGGAGTGACAGGCTACGGAATTAGAAAAAAGAAATCAAAAAMCAGGAACCCAAATCTCAGTTTTTATTCTCTTTTTTTCTTTCTGCAGGAAACTGGCAYTGAAATATCATCCTGATAAAAACCCTGATAATCCAGAGGCAGCAGAAAAATTTAAAGAGATCAATAATGCCCACGCAATATTGACCGATGCCACAAAGCGGAACATTTACGATAAGTATGGGTCTCTGGGGCTCTATGTAGCAGAGCAGTTTGGTGAAGAAAATGTGAACACATACTTCGTGCTGTCAAGCTGGTGGGCAAAGGTAAATAAAAGGGCAGAGAAGTTATTCTGGATTGGTATTGGAAACTCTTAGAGAGCTCCATTTGATAACTGTGCTTGGTTTTACCTTTGGAAATTGCTGAACTTCTGACACCTGGTAAATTAACCTTCTCCTACTGTGTTGTGATCTTGAGTTCAGAAGTATTTTTCTAGGAGCTTCCAGTTCCAGGTCTAATAAGCAAGATCTGGGTYACTAACTGRAGCTTGGACTCTTCTAGTGGATTTRGAAGAGATGAGGATTTGGGGGGTATTCTCTAGTAATATCTGCTGAATAATTTTGCAMAATGAGTCCTGACTGTGAACTTGGGCTCACACAGGAGAAAGTCTCCTTRCATTTCATTGCTCAGGTCCATTTTTTTACCCTTTACCGGGGTTGCCTCCATCTCTTAATTCTCCTAAGTAAGACCATAATTATATCACCATGCTGGTTTGCTATCTGTAAAATTATTTTCTTGAAACAACTGCACAGTGACCTATAGGAAGACTTTCATTTAGTCCATTGTCACTGTGATAAGCACCTGGCAGACCTGGCTCGCTTGGAGCTGCCTTRCTCACATGCTGGGAGCATCAATYCTCAGCCATGSCCAYAACCTTGGGCTGCTCCACRTCCCTGCYAYAGGTACATCATGACCTGTGCATCARCTGGTACAGCTYGGTCTTTTCCAGGGTTATTTATGCAAGTTACAGCCTGTCCTGAACTGTTGTACCTCTGGATTTTAGTACAGATGTGCTTATTAGACCTGTACCTTCTTCCAGRTGCACTTAACGTAAATTGTAGGAATTATCCAAGCAAACCAGGCTGGYAGTATTCACCTCAGTGTAAAATGGGAAGAGCCACAGCCACTTTTGCACATAATTTTAAGTATTTTTTGGTGATGAAGTACAAAGCTGTAACTACTGAGTTGTGTCTCTGCAGTGCTGTGGTTTTGCTCTCAGGTTCCTTAGCCAAGTTTTACAAACTCCATGGTCACAAGACAATAGACACAGGTTATGACTATTTCTGTTTTCTGTTCTCTGCAGGCCTTGTTTGTGTTCTGTGGGCTCATCACAGGCTGCTACTGCTGCTGCTGTCTGTGCTGCTGCTGTAATTGTTGCTGTGGGAAGTGTAAACCAAAACCTCCCGAAGGCGAAGAGCAGGAATTCTACGTCTCTCCAGAGGACTTGGAGGCACAGTTGCAGTCAGATGAAAGGGGTAGGTGAAAACACTGCAAGCTCTCTAGGATGAGCATCTGTCCCTGCTCAAGTGCTCAGTGAGCTGGCTGGGATCAGGTCCTGGGGTGTGGATGATGAGCAGGGAATGTTTGTGCCACAAGTTACGTGGGTGATGCTGACACCAGAGATAGAATTGCTGAAAACTCTCAGAAGATCTTCATGGAACCTTGTGGGATCAGCTTCAGAGCAGTCAGTGACCATCATTAGGTTCCTTCCACACCCTGGGTTAACATAGGGACCAGCCAYGTGGGATTGGAAAAGGGGCTCTTATACCCAGAGGTTGGGGGTGTCAAGGCAGAGTTAACTACGTCAGATGTAAGGGAATTGGCACTGCTACCCTGGTAGCTTTAATACTGTTTATGAAGCTATTTCTGTAGGATTAAACCAATCATTTAAAATATTGTAGAGTCTTGTTTGTGCTCTGATGACATTTTTAATGGACGATGGTGAATGGTGGCTGAGGATCAGCTGCTCTTACAGGAAGAGTGAAGTGTGAATGTTCCACATACAGAGTTGAGGTGAATGCTGTTGTGTGCGCACTGAAAATCAGGGAATTGATATCAAGCTCCTAGAGGAGTGTAAAATGGTGTTACCAGAATGTTGTAGGGAGTTGTGRCTTGTTCTTACCAAAACATACAGTGCTGTGTTTGTTCCATGGTGTGCTAAGCCTTTTGTCTTCACTTTTCAGAGGCCTCAGACGCACCTATTGTGATACAGCCAGCATCAGCCACAGAGACAACCCAGCTCACAGCTGACTCTCACCCCAGCTACCACACTGATGGATTTAATTAAGTTAAGGAAACACTGTCATTAGAATGGATAAAAAAAAAATACATGGCCAACTCAACACTAGAATCATGAACATTAGAAGTAGAGAACGGGGAGGGGGAATAATTCTGCCACAGTAAGAAGGCAGCTTTCCAACCTGCCGAAAATATTTTGTAATCCCTTCAGCCTTTTGTCACCTTTCAGTGTCGTATCTCGATGATACGTGAAGTGCTGTAGCATGCAGTATTTAAAGCAGTTTAGCTACGGTCTTATTTGTTTCCTTTCTTTTATTTTTTCTCCTGTTTTGTTTTTTTTTTAATAGCATGTATGGAGTTATGTTAAATGTCTGTGGTGTAACGTATTGAGTTGTCACAATATCAGTGCGATGGAGACATTCTGCATTTTAAGCAGCAGTACTGGCCTAAAAATGAGATTTAAAAAGTGTCACAGAAGCCACTGTTCTTCYGTACAGCTGAGCTGTCGAAGACCTTTAGAAGTTGAGGATTTTCATTTGAGTGCAACAAACCAATTATTTTATTCCTCCTTCTATTCCTGCRTTATTATCTAAGCAAGTTTACAAAGCCAAGAACCAAAAAATGCTAGTCCTGCAGGGCTGGAGTCCTCTCTAATGCTGGTTTTCAGCTTAAATAAATCTACCTTGAAAAATAAAAAGGGAGAGTTGCCAATCTTTGAACACTAAATTGAACAGCTCATTGTGTATGAGGCGATCTCCAGTGACAATGGAACCAAAACCAACTGGGAATGGGCTCCTGTGGTGGTGGCAGTGGGATTTTATCTCCAAGCACAATTTTGTTTTGATTTGACTTCAGTTRTTTTCCTGTAATGCTAAAGACCAAATAGTGCAGCTTTGTTTCWGAATGCATGAGAATCTTAAAGTGAAACTGGTTAACTGGCTCTCACTGAGCAAATGAATTAAATGCAGACAGTAGGCAACAGCAGAAATGTTAAAAAAAATGGGTTTTAAAAATTGGTTSTAATAATTTGAGATTTTAATAGGCGAATGGGGTATTACATGTCTTTTTTTTAAGCTTTTATAATACACTAACCCTTTAATTTTCTCATGAACGTATTTGTGCAGTACTTAAGTGGATTTTTAAGAACAAACCACCTTTCTTTGTGTTCATATTGTATAATTTGCACATTGTCTTGCATTTAGATTTGTTTACACCAGTGTTTCTCTTTTCCTCAGAACAACTATGTGGAAACCACTGAAAGGTTTCCTGTACTATTTTGAAACCAAATCAAGTCCAAATTCTGTTCTAGAAACTGTGGTTTATTGAGGTTTAACAGTTAAAAAGGCATTTTAGGCAGCTGCTGAATTGCTAGTGTATTTTATCAAGTCCTGCTATAGATGATACAGAGTCAGGATCTAGGACAGCTCAGAGAGCCCACACTTGGCACTTTCAGCGGGTAATTATGGCCTCGTTAATTTTGATCGTTACGGTTTTATATCACAATGCCTCTACTATTCCTCATACCCCCATCTCCCTGATTTGCTTTTCCCCTCTTTCTGTGGAGGGGCTGTTGGCACCTTCCCCCCATGTGTTCTGCTCCCTTACCATCTCCAGGTGGTACTTTGGAGTTATGATCTGTGGGTTTGCACAAAGACCACCAGGAAAGGGCAGGGGCCCAGAGAACCATTCTGAATATATTTTCCTGCTGTCTTTGCATGAGCAACAAGGATGGAGCACATGAAATCTGCCATGAAGCCCGTGTTAAATGTKCTGGGTAGGAGAACATGTTTTCCCCACGGTCTCAGTGCTCAGTGAGGAGCGTTTGCACACCCAGACTTTGCTGTGGCTGTTGGTACAAGCACATATTTGCCTGCATGGGAGCTTGCTGCATATCAGCATGATTTTAGTACCACATCCGGCCCCCAAAATCCCCCCCAAAACTGTTACTTTTAATTAATGGCTCAATTTCAGCAGCACACTCCTTAATGACTTTTTGTAGTCCTTACACACCTGAAATGGGGTGGTTTACTACAAGATACTTTTAACTTTTCCTGATTTGGATAGCCTTGAGGACATTTGTGTATGATTTGGCTTGAGGTCCTTATTTTAGTTAATGTCTTTCTTTGACCCCTTGGAACAGAAAGCCATTTTTAGGCTTAAACCCATTATCACTTTGTCAGTCCCTGTAGATGTTGTCTGAAGCCTGTTCTTGGTGTAGAATTGCACTCTGGAATATGCTTGGACCTATGTAGACTTTGTCCTCTCCACGCTCACTGGTTAAAATCACCGTATCTGTGCAAACAGTGTTCTTGGTTTAAAAAAAAAAGGATATTGAAGTTTTTTGGCTTTGTAAATAAGCATGGTTGATTGGAGGGAGTCAGTGAATGAGGAAGGGGCTGTTCCCTGGGATCTGTTCCATTCCCTGTTCATCTCTGTGGGTAACATGGAGATGGTTGTTGGGTGTTGCTCTGCTGCAGAGCAGATTTGCCCCCAAGTGCTGGGGGCTGGTTGTCACTGTTAATTTGGAACAATAATCTTATTTTTTAACCTCTGGGCTGTTTCCACAGAAGTAGAGAGGCTGGTTGGAAGCTGTGGCTCCAGGGAGGTGTGTAACACACCTGGAGTCCTCTGCAGGCTCCTGACAAGGGAACAGAAACGTGGGCAGCACGTGAGGACCAGAGGCAGAACAGTTATCTATGGRGAAAGATGACATCCAGGATAAGTTTGCAGTTTTAGTTCTTTGCTTAACAAGGGATGAGTTTGGAGAGAGACTGCTTTCCTGTCGGTTCTGTCTGTGGGTGGTGTGTGAACAGGAAATTAGTCTGTTACGTGCCAGAGTGATGTTAGATGCTCCAAGGGAAGCTGTTCTGAGATCTCAGTTACAGGGAATGATGGGAAAACATAATTCTAGATGAATATTCATGTTTTCTGAAGCTGTTTCAAGTTTGCCCATGTTACTGTCTAATCTCTGCGTTTAGGATTGTTGTGTATTAATGAAGTTCTTCTTGAACTATGTAAGGAAGAGATTTAAACATTCCTTCTTTAAAGCCAAAATGGTGTCATTGGCACATAAGTAGGTTAATGCCCACTTTTCCCCTCTTGGAGGGAAGGTACAAGAGTACCCTGTGCTCTAACAYGAGTTGCACTTCATAATGGCCAAGTAGAATCCTAGGAAATGCAAAGTTCTATTGGGAATAATGGTTTAAAATCTGGCGGAGAAGCTCAGACAGGAGTTCTGGGCTTGGGCAGGGGGAGCTGCAGCATCCCAGCACTGTGGCCTGACCTGGCTTACTGCAGAATGTTTCCCTCCAAAATCAGACCTGAGTACTGTCCATCTCTGTCCAGTGTGTTGCCAGAATTAAAACTTGAGCTTGGATTTTATTTATTTATTTGTTTCTTTAAAGTTGTATCATTTGTACAAGTTGCCTGAGTCCTCCGTTCCAGTCATTCGGTGACCTCCATCCACCTCTTCCAACTTCTCCAGCACCGATTTCCTTAGCACTTGGAGCTCCATTGGGGTGAATCCCATCTGGAGAGTTGGTGTTCAGGACACRGATTTATCCCTGTGTTGCATGGAGAGCCATTCCTAGCTTAGGTGAGGAGGGAAAGCTGCTGCTGAGAGTGCCCAGGTGGCAGCTGTCCCTCCTGGTGCATGGAGCTGCTGGAAAAAGAGGTGCTGGATCTRTCTTGCCCGTCCTGCCTGGGGATGGGAGCATCCTAAACGCACTGTACTGAAGGGGCATTGCACCCCTTAAATGCCAGTCTCATTTTGTTAGTGATTTTTGTAGAAAATTCTTAAATATTTATCTGTATATAAATTTATGTAAGACCTCGGTGGCGTCCGATAGGGTGTTGGTTTTTGCTGGTCCCATGCAGTGACGTTTTAGAACCATGTTCCCTTTTTAGTCTTCTTTTTAGATTTGTAATCTTTTTAAACTGCTTTAGATATTAGCACTCCTAGTGTTCTTTGAAGTGGGATGCTCTTGGAGGTTTGGAGGGGCAGAACTGAGGAGGAGGGCTTGGGCACAGAAACACCCAGTCCTGCAGCAGGGCTGCGGTCGGAGGAGTGCAGCTCTCCAAACCCTTCCTGTCTGCCCATAAACACTTCACACAGGTGTAACCAGGGCAGGATCCTACAGAAAAACTATTCCTGTCCCATCTGTGAGGCAGTTTGGTGGTGTGGGGGGACACCAGTGCACTCTGGGGGGGCTGTTCCAGAGCTGTTTGTACCACGCACACTCCTCTCAACTATTTTGTGCCCTTCCTCTGGTGCCCTTTGATCTTTTTGGCAGTTCTGGATAATTTAGGAAATTTATGCTGCAGGTTTTTTGTACCCAGTGCACGTGTATCTTGGCATCATGTTTAGCAGGTCACTCTGGCAGGGTGGTCAGGGCAGTTTGCAGCCCCCCCACCTCATGTCAGTAATTCCGAATGGTGTTTAAATGCATTAATCTCGGAGCACTGAACCGTAACCCCCCAGTTATAGTTTATAATAGTGTCAGGTCGGTATAAAYTTCACATGCTTCAGCATCTGGTGCTGCTTCTCTGTATTCTAGTGGAAATCATCTAGTTTGTAGTGTCTCATTGCACCAACAGCTGCTTAAAATCTCTCGAAAGAATCATAGCCAGTAGCTCACCAGGTGGCAGGAAATTTGTCAGTGTTCAGCTCCCGCAAGATCCATGGTCCCCTCCACGAGCTGCCTTTGGAGGCTTACTGGGACTGTCTGGGACTCAGCAAGACTGCAATTCCCGTGTTCTTCCAAGAAGATATTTCCTTTRCGAGGAGAAGCTGCGGGAGGGAAGCTGGCTGTCTGATGTTTGCACAAGCCAAATGCCAGAAATCTGGAAGACGAACTTTCATTATGCCAATGTTACATGCACAGTTCATTTTGGTGTTAAAAGGATAGATGCTGGGAATTTCTGGTGGTTATATATATATATGTATGTATATGTATATGTATAGAGGAAGCTCTTATATAAACTGGCTGTTCATTCCCGAGTGCYGTTGTCTTCTCTGCTCCCTCTCCCAGCCCTGTGGGTGTGTTCTTGCAGTCTGTGAGCAGTCGCTTGTCAAACCATTCCAAAATTTAACAATCTACTTGAATTCCRTGAGCTGCCCCTTGTCCCAGCTCCTCTGGCTGGAACTGGGCTCTGCCTGCTCCWGCTTTCCTTACGAGGAGAGAAGGGAGACCTTGGCAGAGGGCACAGGGGCAGCACTAGAGTGACTGGAACTTGTGCAGCTGGCACGTGGGGTGTTTAGATGTGGTCAATGTGCTCATCACCGAAGCTGTGATAGAACACATAGATTTGGGTTTTTTCCCTAGTTTTCACCACATTGGACTCCCCAGAGCAGGGCTGGGTGAGCTCACAGAGCAAGGTCCCACCCCATGCTGAGGGCATGGGCTGCAGCATCACGTGTGTGTATGTATGTATATATGCACATATGTATATATTTATACAACAGGTGTGCACCTTGGGTTTTTCTTTGGTGGTAAAAACGTGAGATTTGGCTCCAAGTAGTGCTCTGAACTCAGCCAGACAGGGGAAGGTATGAGTTTTGTGYGGCCACAATTGTGCTTCTTTGCTCTCAGCTGCAGGAAAACCCAAAACCCAACCTTGTGGGGTTGAGGGACTGGTGAGGACATGGTGAAGGAGCCTGTTGTATAAATCAGTGGGTCCTAGGAGAGGGAGAGGCACCTGCTCCCCACACCCTGCTCGGGGAGTGCCCACATGAGCAGCGTGGTGGTGTTTGCACAGCTGGGTACCATCCCTCYRCTTGCAGGTTGGMTCCRTARGGACTTGGAGTTACTGAGATCCCTRTACCTGAAGCTGGCAGCGATCCATGTGAAGGCACAATGGTTGTGGCCAATGAACATGAGTCCCACCATGTCCCCTCTAGATAGAGTCCCACTGCTGGATAGAGTCACCACCACCCTCCTCCTCCTCAGRCTGTTCCTTCCAGGGGCCGTTCCCAACACGCAGCACACCAGGGGTTCCTGCTTCACAGCAGAAGTGGGGGAATATTGGGGAGATTTTTACTACTGACACCTCTGAAGTTCTGTTTGTGACCATCACGGTTGATGAACTCCAAGTTTGCCAATTCCAAACGCGCTGTTTCCTTGCTGGATGCTGAGCCGATCACTGTCATTCCTTCCTCCCTCTCATCCCACTGTTGCCTGCCTTACTGGGGCAGGGTGTGGATGGGTTGGTTGGTGTCACCGCTGACATCCCAGGCGGTTTATTTTCATTTTGCATGTGAGCAAGGCCCTGAACTGTGTAATTCTTTGTGGGGTTTGGTTTCCTGGCCTCTTTATGGAGCCAGAGGGAGCTGAGGACGCCAGGAGAGAYGTGTCTGCATTTGCACTGCACTTCAACTCGGGCGTGGGTAGGGAATAGGGGGAGCCCATCTTTAAAAAGAAAAAATAGTAAAAAAAAAAAAAAAAAACCMAAACCAAACCCACCACAATCGAAGTATAAATGCATCTGAGAAGCAATTATAATATAGACATATATCTATTTTGTTATGTTACTAAAGGACCATACTTTGAGTTGTCTGTAAGTAGACGTGGCTGTCTGAACTTCGTGGATTGTAACACTCGATACTACTGAGCTCCTGTACATACCCGCAGCGACGGCAGAAGGAATTATTTTCTGTTTTAGCATGGTAATTTGTGTCTTGTATGTCCAAATATAAACTAAAATAAAGATTGCTAAGTTATCGGAAACCACTGTTGTAAAATAAATGTTTTCAATGCAGAAATGCCCATCAGATTTTTCTTTATTTGCACGCTGGAACTCAGCACAAGAGGGAGGGGCTGTGGGAGGCTGGCTGCGAAGTGGGAGGTGGGAAAAGTCACCCATCCCTGGGATGGGCACTGGGTGCAGGGTTCCTGGGGCAGGAACTGTAGCCACTCCTCTCTGCCCTGCTGGGATTGTTCATTTTGGAAAGGTGAGTATTGCTCATTTAATGGTGGTGAGCATGAAATTGTGT